GACTATAACGGGTATTCCACCTTTCCTCGGTGCAAGAGCAAAGGTAGACCTGCGTTGCAGGAGACAAGGACCACATGGACTGGGAGCGAGTGGAGCAACAATTGTCACGCCCGAAGTGCGGAATCTCTTACCTCATACTGTCCACTTGATAAAACTGACTTACCTACAGATATTCAGAAAGAGGAACGATGTCTTCCAAATGCCCCGTTCAAGTATGTGTGGTCTTTTGCTAGTCACATACCTAATCACGAAGTTGACAATTGTTTTTAGAGTCTTAGATGCTCCAGGCCTTCGTGACGACTTTTACTGCTCGATCATGGCCTACTCCCAAACATGCAACACGCTGGCTGTCGGGCTGGGGAATCTCCTTTATGGGTGGTCCGAATGTTCGGGTGTCACCCTTCTCAATGCTGGGCTCAAAGATGGATCGTGGCTTACCTCGGTTGCATTCTCATCCGACAGTGGTGCCAAGTCAATCCTAGCCTTTGGCCGGTCAAGTGGCCTGCTCTCCCTGGTGTCACTTTACGACAGTATGCTCCCTCGTTTCGAAGCCTATCACCCCGAACCCATAGCTTGCCTCGCCTGGCGTCCCGTCAGCACTCCACGACCATCTCGCAGTAAACGTAATCCCGGCGTCCTGGTCAGAACAGAAGACCTCCTTGTAGGCGACGATGGGGGAGAGATCTATTACTATACGGTAGAGTGGCCTGAGCCTTAGGAGGTGGCTCGGGAAAATTGGCGTGGGGCCATGACCCTACTCGCCCGCATCAAGGTTCATTCTCAGCAAATCTGTGGTCTTGCGTGGTCTCCGGACGGCCAGCAGTTTGCCACTGGGGGGAATGACAACCTCTGTTGCTTATTCGATGTCGAGAGTGTGATCGAAAACAAGGCGGATCCAGCATCGAATCTTTCGGGGCCGTCCATACCAAACTCCCCTAACAGCGAAGGGCCGGCCTCACCATACATTGTCAACTCAGGGGGCAATACTCCTAGTCCATCATCTTCACCACCCGAGGTGATACCCGACTGTCCAAATCCACTTTCGGCCATGAAATATCTACCAGCCGGGTCGGAGAGACATCGATGGCGTCACGGAGCGGCCGTCAAAGCAATTGCATTCTGTCCGTGGCGCCAGGGACTAGTTGCTACGGGAGGAGGGTCTAATGACAGATGCATTCACTTCTACCACACCAACTCGGGGGCTGCGCTCGCCACCATATCGGTCGCGGCGCAAGTGACGTCTCTGATATAGAGTACAACACGACGCGAGCTCGCAGCGACATTTGGCTACGCGCAGCCCGATCACCCATATCGCATCGCCGTGTTCAGCTGGCCCGATTGCCGACAGGTGGCTGCCGTGCCGTAGGAAGGCGAACATCGCGCGCTGTATGCCATTGCATATCCTAGGGGGCCAAGCGACACGTATCGCACCAAAGCTCGACTAAAAAGCCGCACGGCCGAAGAAGGCTGCATCATCGTGGCGAGCAGTGACGAGAGTGTCAAGTTTCATGAAGTGTGGGTTGCAGGCCGTAAGGCAACTACCTTTGGCAGTGGTGTGCTCGCCGGGAGTGACATCTTGGAGATGGGAGAGGGTATCGACAAAGAGGGTGACGTGATCCGTTGAGGGAGGAAGAAGAAATCAGCATAGCATAGCATTGTTTCGTAGTGGATTAGACAAACAGATGATGTAGTAATAAAACTGAATGTTTTGTTAAAACTGCCTCTTTTTAAAGGGGGGTGATGAGGAGGAGGAGGAGGAGGAAAAGGAGAATATGAGATATCTTTGTAACGTGAGGGAGGTCGGTAGAAGCATAATTCTTTTTTTTAGGCATTTAAGTGGTCACGTTCCTTTATTTAAGTCACCGGCACATATTTATACTTGTATCCGTATTGCACGATCCGTATCGAATGTACCTGCTGTATCTGACCCCTGTAATGCAGCCCCGCCTTCTAAGTTGTGAACAACTTATATACATACCCCACTCCGCATATCTCAGTGCGTGACACCAGCATTTGCTACCTTAGACAAAGTACCTGAAAAGTACACAAATACATCTGCACCCATGTACTTGTAGGCAGCTACCACCTACATAGTTACTACTATGTACTACTAGTACCTACTAAGCTTATCGGTGAATGCCCGCATCAATTCCATGGAACATTAAAGAGTGCATGTGGCTTAGGCAGATAAAGTCACTTGAGTAGTTGCACCATCAGCTCCCTCCATTTTGGTCATCAAAGGCAAATCAGCTGGCGATTTGGATGGAAGGTGTAACTTTGATTGCTGCTGCTGCCTTGGAATTACAGGTATGTACAGTACCTACCTACTTAATAGAGCTACACCTAATAATACCCCTACGTGATTGGAAAAGGTACTTACTTTACTGACTGTACAGTACTTATAACACATGTAACCCCCTTCTCCCCTCTTCCCTCCCTCCCTCCTTATCCNNNCCCCCACGTAAAGACGAGTCTATGCTTTCAACCTAATCCACAACACCTTTTTCATCATCATCGTCATCTTCTTCATCATCTTCCTTCTTTCAACTACAACTACCATCACTACTAGAAGTCATCCATCCGCCTTCGACTTCTAGTGATCCTTCTATTCTTGACATTATCGTCATATTACCAAACTACCTTCTTTCGACATCAGAACCATTTCGGACCGTCGCAGCTCAGCGGAACTTGTCAAGATGCGATCCAAGTTTAAGGACGAGCACCCCTTCGAGAAGCGCAAGGCCGAGGCCGAACGCATCCGTCAGAAGTACGCCGACCGCATTCCGGTATGTATATTATCTTGTTATTTATTTGTTTGCTTATTAGTTTATGAGTATTTGCATTTGCATTTGCACCGTCGCTTTACTCTGTGACTGTCGTTGTTAATGGTGTTTCAATGCAATTATTACGATTGACATTGCTGCCTTCGTCATCGGCTTTCTCCTCATTCAACTCCATCATCCATCCCGCCTTTTCGCCTCACCGCCTCCGCCGCTTTTTCTTTAAAGACTCTTAACTAATCCGCATTTTCGCAAACAGGTAATTTGCGAAAAGGTCGAGAAATCCGATATCGCGACCATCGACAAGAAGAAGTATCTCGTACCAGCAGATCTCACCGTAGGCCAGTTCGTCTACGTGATCCGAAAGCGAATCAAGCTGTCGCCCGAGAAGGCCATCTTCATCTTCGTTGATGAAGTTCTCCCACCTACCGCCGCTCTCATGAGCAGCATCTACGAAGAACACAAAGACGAAGATGGGTATGTTTATTTTTTTTCTCTTGTCTTCTCTGGCCGCCGTGTGGTGTCGCGAGTTGAAACTAACCGTCAATCCGTGCAGATTCCTCTACATCACGTATTCGGGCGAGAATACATTCGGCGACGCCGCTTAAGATTGAACTCGCACCGAATCTTTTTCCCTGGACGGCGTTTATGGTTTCTTCTGGGCTGGATGACAACGATGTGATTACTACTGGCAATGACTTATGGGCGGGACAGACATAATCACGGTAGCTGGTGGATGAGAATGCGTCTTTCCAATTAGTTGCATCGCGGTCTCAAGGATGTATAGGACAATAGATACATCCTGTTGATTTCATATCATCAATACCAATGTGGTCCCCCGTCTACCCAAATTATCTATTTCTGGATATAACGTGACTTACCTACTCTGTTTCTCTCTCTCTCTCCTTCTTCTTTACTCTCCAACTTAAAGCAAACGAGGAGTGCGAGTATCGCAGTGCAAAACTTGTTACTACAAGGTGTGGTATGATCAGTTGAGGTACCTTTCGGGGTGATGTGTGCTCGGTATCCTACTACTGTCTGTCTACCTTGATAGATACCAAACTGTACCACCAGACTTCGTCTTCCGGCAATTCCGCAGGCTTGTGCTTATCAACAAATAAACACTAGTGACTCTTTGCCCGTGCTCGTCTCACAGCCCATACCTAAGGTATAGCTAGGTAGCTTTTGAAAGCTTGGTCTGTGATATTCGATGACTCACATGTCAACTACGCCACTTTCAAGTCCTATTTTGCTTATACATACAGATTCATAATCTAGATAGAGGCTAGCTTTCTTATCCTTTCTATACGCGGTGAATGACTGATGTGGAATTAGAGGCATCAAGTATTCGATCACATTCATCATTACATATGCAACAGTTTGATAACTCATAACTCGGGGAAACTTCTAGCGTTATATACATCTCAGTGAATGTCTACCTAGTCTAGATTGATTTCCTAGCAAATCACCCAATAGCTGATCTGTAATCGCTTAGCCTGGCGTCAATGCTAGAATGCCCCATACTATGTACCTGTGTGAATCATAAAAGTCATCTACAAAAAGCGGTCCGGGAGGCGGTCTACTAGCTCGTGCCCCTATGAACTTCAATATTCAAATAACCAATGCCGTGAATGATCTCTAGTTAAGCAGTTACCCACCTCCGCCGAGATAGATGGATTCCTATTCACCACCGTAAGCAACGGGAGCCAAGCTAGTCCCGCCGCTGGGACGCTGTGCTGTGCTGTCTGTCTGTCTTGTCGGTGGGCGTTAAGCCCATAGAGCCGAGGCCACGACAGCGCTAAGGCAACAGGCACGCCAGAGGCGTAGTAGCGTGTATTGTTTCGGTGCATAGATGAATATCAGAAGAAACAGCAACTCCTATAACGATAGCACATCAAGACAATCTTTAATAGTGATTCAGCAAACGTGTTTCCTGTTCCTGTTCCTGGTCTTGTAAGAAGCGCCATGCATCATAAGCAGCAGCGAAGTCTCTCACAGATAACTCGTCATCTACGCATTCGTGGCTACATACCTACCTATTTAATGCCTATCCAAAGTAGTACACTAAAACGAAGCAGTGGATAGAATAACCCACATAGCTATTGAAGCGACGATGGATTAACGGAGCAGCTAGAATATACTATTTGTTAGCAACCCGTTAACTCATCAAGCAACACTTGGAGTTTGTCCGATTTCACGGACTGTTCAAGTGGGTAAAACGGTGAGATGGCCGAGTGGTTATGGCGCTGCGTTCAGGTTGAAACTTGGATCATTGAGTGATAGCGAATATCATAAAATATCGCAGTGGAGCAATCCGCGTGGGTTCGAGTCCCACTCTCATCATCATTATTCGAAATAGTATCGTCAATCATATCAGTGAATGATAGATGCTTCAATTTTTGGAAATCTAGGGAGTTATGTTATCTCCTTGCTTCATACCTACTACATACATACATGTATAGCTCGGGGGATACTTCTTTTTATCCCCCCAACACCGCATCGATAGATACTCGTCGCAATGTATTCACTCGATATACCTGTGTCTCCTTTTTTTTCGTATGTTGAGCTGCCAAGCTACCAGGCTCTGCTTTGAGTAATAAACATGAAGAGATATCTGGTCGGTGGTAACATAGTAACTCCCACTTCCATACAGTAAAACTTTTCATGTGGCAATAGGGAGGTTGCTAGCTGTGTCAAAGATAGAAGTGCTACTTAGTTTAGATCATAGGTCCGTCTACCATTGCGGCACTGGTTCATTTCACAAGTAGAATTGCAAGACAGAAAGTAATATTCTTGAATCGTACTTTTTCTGCCTCCAGGATTAACAGTAAAAGGCCATGGTTTGCATCCTCTACCTTGTTTCTACCACTCCTTGCTCCTGATGAAAATTTTAACCTCAACAATACAACAAATGGACAAGGGGGAATAAGCTCGCACCGTAGTGCGGAATGCAAAAAAAAAGCAAACAATATCGTACATGAGGCGAATACGCAAAAAACAACCCTGCTCGTAATCCCCGGAACTGATGCTGGTCTGCTAGTCCCGTTGCTGCAGTCGCATCCACGTAGAACCCCTTGAATGGTTGACTTGAATACAACAACCGTAGACCAACGCCGAGTTTTTTTCTTTCGCTTTCCACCGGGGAGCAGACGCGCTCGAGTAAATATCAAATAAATTAGTCCGGCGTTGTCGAGATAAAAACATCAATCGTGGGTGGGAATCGCTGAGAGCCTCCAAACCTGCCGAGTCCCCAAATAATGCAAGTCCTGAACGTCCAGCCGATGTAATGGTGCGTATAAAACAGCCCAGTTGAGTACGAACAACAGTAAAAACTTCCGTATCCAGGGGCAACGCCGGTATGCTAAGTTTGTCTTTTCCTTTTTTCTTTCTTTCTTTCTTTCTCTCCCCCATGAAACAATTTCGATTAATCAACCGGGGAACACATCACGCCGGATTGGTTTTCACGCGTTTGTTAGGCATCCTGGGTGTTGTCGCAGACTTCTTGGCCATGGTGACACCGTTCATCTGGGGACCTCCGATGCTCGCTGGTGTCGGGGCACCGCTCTCCTCTTCCGTCTTGACTGTCGAAGGTCTCCTCCGCTTATTACTTGCTGGACTTGTGTTAGCGCTGGGTCCGCTAGAGCTTGTCCCCTGCTGACTCTGCTGTAGTTGCATGTTTGGTGCTTGCATGTGTCCTTGGGCGGGGCTTCCCATATGAGGCGAGTTTGGCAGTTGCAAATGAGCAGCCGCCGGCGAGGCGCCCATTGGGAATTGTCCATAGCTGGGTGTTCTCGGATTCACAGGGCCATTGCCTTGTGGTTGACCGTTTACCATGGGTTGCTGTGGAACATTGGTTATGTTATGGCTGACATACTGCTCAAGTGCAGAGTAGGGGGAAAGACCAGGATGTGTGTGATAAAAATTAAATAGTGGCTAGACGCACATGAGTTAGTAGGTAGATCGGGTTGAAAGATAGGAAATAGATAGCATGTTATAATGATTTAGACTTACGTTCATTTGCCCAACTACTTCAATAATCTACCATACTACGTTAGCGGAAGCATGTCAAGAGCTATATTGGATTGGGAAACTCGTACCTCAAGATATTGGAATACAGCCTCTGTGATGCCAATGTTCGGTTTTACCGCTGACTGTGGTAGGTCAATGTCGGGTGGCGGATTCGGAGGCGACTTCATTGTCTTTGCTTTTCCTTTCTTGCTCATTTCTGGGGACAATTGTGAGTTCTGGCCGTTGACCCTTGCCCACTCCTTCACCCAGTTATGCGCCGGCTTCGCTGCCTCGATCACCATCTTCCTTGAGTGATACTCCTCATGGCTTTGCGTGATAAACTCCAACAACTCTAGTTTTTGCTCGTTGTCGAACTGTGCTCGAAGAGTACCAGTAACAACGACCTAATTGCGACATTAGTACCCCTGAATTTGACGCCATGCTCATGGTGCTGCTTCTCAAAACTTACGTGCGAATTATCAAACCAATATGTCATATTTGCCCTCTGGTTTTCGATGAAGTGGCACCCATTTGGTAAAGGTCTATCAGTAATGCCTCTTTCGAAAGTAAGATTGATTCTCTTGATGCCACTTTCAAAGTGGGTGTGGAAATATCGTGCTAGCGCAGGCAGCGTTATCTCGTATTGCTTGTCGGTATGCTCCTCGTTAGTAGGATCAGTGCCTATATCGAACAAGGAAACCCTGAAAACACCTCTGGACGAAAAGAACTGAGCAACGAAATTATTCCAGTAGGTTAGATCATCTTTTACTCTCGAGCCCTATCAAGAAAGGAATATTAGTTGATCCTGCGACTAAGAACCATGTCGGAGACAGCAGCAAGAAGTGTACAGGCACTTACAGGATACCCGCTCAAGTGTTCACCAAATTGGAGTAGCTTTAATAAACAATGGCCTTTCATGCCCTCATTTTTGTGCTGTTGCTGTTGCTGGTGTAACAATTGCTGCTGAATGTTATTTGGCAACTGGAGATGCTGAGCTATTTGCGCTGACTGGGCAGTGGGCTGTTGCGGTTGGTTATGTTGGCCATTCGACGGCTGTCCTTGACCCTGGGGTTGCTGCGGTTGGTTTCCCTGTGCGGAGGTGGGAACCTGATTTTGCGGCTGGCTTGGTTGTGAGACAGCCGGTGTTGGGGCTCTCTGAGGGCCTTGTGTGTTCGGTTGGGGCTGCTGTCCTGGCTGCGGACCGGGAGGCTGTTGTCCTGGTTGTTGCGGTTGGGTTTGTTGTCCTTGCTGTGGAGGTTGCCCTTGTGCATTCGGCTGCTGCTGCTGAGGCCCTTGGCCTTGCGGACCTTGTGGAACTTGTTGCGCCATCGATTGTGCTAGTTGGGCTTGCTGTAACTGGAGCTGTTGGGGGGTCATTTGTCCAGGATGGCCAGGTTGGTTGCCTTGATGCACCGCATTGTTCGCTTGCTGCTGGGCTTGGTGCTGTTGTTGCAGCGCTAGTTGCTGGGCAAGCATATGCTGTAAGAATGGGCTAGGTTAGAATGGACGATATTGAATCGCAAGTGATACGTAAGGGTCTGTTGATTACCTGAGCGTGCTGAGGACTTTGATGTTGACCCTGCTGGGCAAGATGTCCGGGCTGGAGATGCTGAGGTAGCGCAATTCCTCGCATATTCGCGTTGTTCCTTATAGCCTGCTGGTACTGAGCCATATTCATTCCCGACATGTTCATAGGCATTCCTGCACCGTACATTTGTTGCTGTTGTTGCATCATGGCGGCTTGTGCTTGTCTCTGGTGCTGCTGCTGTAGCAATCTTTGGTGCTGGAGAGCGACGAACTGAGGATTTGCTACTAAGGGGCAGTGCTTTTGTCAGCTAAACACAAATACATACCTCCTACACGATGGGACGAAGGACACGCAGGAGAGACGGGTGAGGCTTGATTGGGCTTACATGCGAACTGCTGCTGCTGCTGAAACATTTGCTGCTGGGGGGTCAGATGTTGCAAAGCGTGAGCATTAGGGCCAGCGGCGCCCGGAGGCATACTCCCCATCATAGCTGAGGGATTGCCCTGTCCACCGGGGCCGGATACTGCTGCCATATGGGCGGCCATCTGAGGAGGCATTCCCGGTTGACCACCCGGTTGGCTTGGGTTATGAGCCATGCCCGGAGCGCCCATGGGATGGCCCGGATGGACGCCGGGATGTTGTTGCATACCTGGATGAAAACCACCCGGTGCCATGCTGGTCATCATTCCTACTAGTGTCGATTATCCACGTAGTGGATATCGACGCCTGATCGTAATCGCTGTCTCATACGTTTGCAGTCTGTGTATCTATTGTCGCAAGTTGGAAGTGATCGATCTATCGATCTCGAGTGATGATTTCTTCGCCGACAGCAATATTTCGCCTTCGGTAATTTTCCAACAATATCCCCACAATCTCTAGTGATTTGTACTTGTTAATTTAAAGTGATGCGACTCGATGTAATGCGATCGCTGATTGAAGAGAACGTGTATGTCGGAGATGTGAAGTTGTCGCGTTCACGATGATCACGAGTATTCGATTCTAGGTGGCGGGACTCGACGAGGGAAATAACCAGAGACATACGGTTCAAAAGTCGTGGTTTGACGTGAAGATGAGAACTGGATATCTCGTCGATTCTAAAATCAGGTTTGAACGCGATGGGAATAGGGTTCCTGAGCTTCGCGCCACACGTAGGATATAGTACAGCACGTTTATCGTGATGAAGTTTTTCTGTAAATCATGAATAAACCAAATACTAGGTTTATACCAGATCAACCGGCTTCATCAACACGTTGTTCGTCGGGACAATTGGCCACAAGTATCGTCGTCGCGCGTTAGGTTGGTAGTTAATAGTTGGTAGCTGGTAGTTGGTAGATAGAGACAAGCGGAGCGGAGAGGCGGACGTGCACAACGGGGATGCGATACGGCGAAGATGGTAAAGTGAGTGGGTGCCAGGTCCAGGTGCTAGTTGTTTGGCGTCGCGGGATTCGACCCTGGTATTATACAGTGGATATTGGGTTCTGTTGATACCGTGCGGGAAGCTGTCCGTAGAAGTGTAGAGTGGTACGATTTTTTATTTGGTTTAGTTGAATAAATTATTTTAGTTCTGGGTCGATCTTGAGCAATGAAGTCTCGCCATCATATCATTTTTTCCCTCTTCTTCTTTTTTTTTCTTTACGGAGTTGTTAGTGGTGGTACGAGTAAGAATTTGAAAATTGTGGATGGCGGATAACAGGCTAATAAGAAGTTGGCGAAAGAAGAAAGAAAAAAAGAAAATGTAAGAGAAGGGGAAGAAAAAAAAATAGACGATGATGACAGGATGAGCTAGCTACTTAGATAGCTGATGGGG